GTTTTACAACAGCTGTTTACCAGTAATTACAAGGTCTTAGAGAAGGAACGTTTCAGTGCTACAAGTTAAAAACAGGAACAATATTGTGGGATGTTCAGGAGCTGAGCTGTACCAGAAAATGGTTGATGAGACAAACCGGGGTTTGCTGTGTCAGGAAATGTTTTGGAAATTTGCTTCTCAGCAAAGATTTATCTGCAAAGCATACACCTAATGGGTCACTGTGGACATATGGTTAGTGGTAGGCAAGCCAGGATCTGCCTATTAGAAAGTAGAGATCATAACCTGACATTTTATACTACACACTATTATCTATAACACATGCTTATCCACTACCACATTGTGAAGATCACTGTGGACATATGATTAATGAGCGACTAACCAGGGTTTGATTATTAGGAGGTAGAGAACATAACCTTTCCAATAGATTACTTATTCCATCAGAGGGTGAAGACAAAATAGTAAATGTTTGCTGTATTTTGGTGAACATGTGTCCCAGGGTGGTAATAAAATCAGTGGAAAATGGAACCTACTCTTGTTAAATATTTCTGTACTGCACTATTTGTGTAGGGGTGTTTTCTTAATGATTAACGGAATGATCTGATTTTTATGCATGCAATTTGACATAAGTTGTGCATTAAACCTTAATGACATAATTTCTATGTGTTAACTGATCTGCTTTTGTGCTTTGAAACAATTTAAGTAAAGCAAAGCATTTGAAGAATTTCTTCATCCTTTATTTTTATTCAACTTTCAAAAGTATTCACCGAATGCTAATCAAGAACTTTACACCTTCATCCTTGATAAACAATAACATACAGTAAAACAAAATGATTGTTTCACGTTTTTGTGCATAGTAGTGCTAAGACAGCTTGGTGCAAATATGCAAATGTTTTGATTGCACAAATAACTAACAGGAATAGTGGTGTGAGTCAGACCTTGGCAGGTGGGTGATTTATTAGTTTTAGCAATGAATTTTCACAGCTTTAATGTTACAGTTTTTCTCAGTTGCTTTGGTGCATTTCTCACAACAGAATTAAACTTTGAACAACAGATAGTTCAATTTCCACAACATGTAGTCATTTTGGCACAACCTAGTGGACATGAAGCAGTTGAGTAAGTAAAACTGTCTAAAGAGTGGTCACTTTTGACTTGCTATTCATCACTATCTCCTTGCTTTTACCATGAATGTCACAATTATTTATACTTGTACCGGCTGAATAGTCATTGTCCTTACAACTAATAGTCTTCATTTCATTGCTTGTGTCATTGCACTCAAAATTGTTGAACATCTTGTCAAACAATTTGTACACCCATTTTGAAAACCCTATTTTTAAGGAGTTTCCAACTCTATAAATTACTTTTCTCAGGTGAACCTTATCTCACACTAATGAAAATTGGTGTGTGTCCTGGTGACAATCGGACAATGTATCTAAGCATCACAGAAAGGAGAGTGCCTGAGGGTTTTGGTAAATGCCTATACAAATTTCTAAGATCTGGTTCATCAAAGTTAATAAATAACCATTTCATTAAAAGTGAACTCACTTCCTATATGGACAGTTCTGCCAGGATTCCGAGCTCAACAAAAAGCTCACAGCTCCTGCTAAATGACCATCATATGGGGAATCAAACCAGATTTTTCAGTGGAACAAGTTAAGCGGAATATAAACAATCCTTTTTGAATCAACAATTATTTGCTCAATCCATCACCCACTCAGACGTGAAACTGTCTGCCAAAAGCCACCTGGGAAGTATCTTTTGACCATTCGTGCGTATGCGGAGGGTGCCTACAATCTTCAGACACACCAGAAACCCACTCACTCGTTCTGAGAGACGGCTTTGCCTGCAGACCGTATCACCGGGAGTTTCCGTGATCCAGGGTGCATAGACTAAACAATGGTGTCAGAGTGGTTATTGAATTGTTGTTTCCCCGGATTGACCAAAGAACGTTTGGTGAAGAGTTGGTGACAGTATGCGTCCATGAACATGACATAATTTGAAATTTTATTGTGGCTGCAAGTTCAGTTCCTATATCAGATGCTGATTTTCTCTTTGCACATGGACTAGTATTTGACTTAGCTAACAGGCTGATGGACAGTGGTGACCCTGTGGGGATTTCTGCCTCCTAAATGGTGTCACTGACTGGTACCCAATCCCCCACATTCAGGACTTTTTAGTACACCTCGCTGGAACCTCCAACTTTTTGAACTTAGTGCACGGTTACCATCAGGTCCCAGTAAATGCAGAGGACATTCTTAAAACTGCTGTCATCGCTCCCTTTGGCCTCTTTGAGTTTTTATGCATGCCCTTTAGCCTTAAAGGTGCTGCACAAACCTTTTTTGTGAGGTTTGTCCTTTGTTTTTGTCAATTTGGATGGCATCTTGGTTGCCAACCACTCTGCCGAACAGCACGTCAATCACCTACGCCAAGTTTTCTGATTTTTGGCTGAACATGGTCTGATTGCCAACCCAGCTAAGTGCCAACTCGGGCTGGCACTGATTGA